CATATTTTCGTGGGGTCGTCGATGAATCCGTGGGGTTGTTCGACGAAGATCTCAGCGTCCAGAGGTGCGTATAGGAACGCATTCGCGACATCGATTTGGCGTAGTGGTAGTGTTTTTGTGGCCGCGACGGCGAGTAGGATGCGTAATGAGGTGTGACGGGAGACTGGGGCGAAGGTTTCTGTGTAGTCGGTTCCGTATCGTTGATCGAAGCCTCGTACGACCCATCGAGCTTTGAATCGTTCGATGGAGCCGTCTGAGTTGGTCTTGATGCGGTACACCCATTTCCCCGAGAGAACGTTCTTCCCGTTGATGCTCGTTGCAGGTACCAGTTTCCATGTTTCTCGGTCTTGCAGAGCTTTTAACTCCTTTTCCATCGCTTCTTTCCATTTTGCCTTATGTTCCCCCCCCAGAGCCTGCGACAAGGTTGAAGGCTCACGCGTAGAAGGCGGCGGCGGATGCTGGACGGAGACCCAGAGGCCTAGAATCTGGAGTCCCGTGGGTGTGTGTCGAGGGGAATTGTCATTCCCCGAATAAGCTGCTTCGTCACCGTCTTCGGGGTCAGGTAAGAAATTGGGGCCGATGCGTTCCGAAATATTCGTGTCGACGGGGTGCGGTGTAGCGTAACCTTGGTCGGCGAAGTGGTAAAAGGTGTCGAGGTTGTTGCTATCGAGGGGATTATCTTCATCGAGTGGAACAGGTATGGAACAGAATGGGAGTGGCCCGGCAGCTTCCGAGGCTCCAGGTACGTCTTCTTCTGCTGCGTCAGCCTCGGCAGCATGGTCAGCGAAGGAGCGAAGGCCCGCGAAGCCGTCGGTGGGGTCGTCTGAGTTGGCAATGTTGTCCAGGTAATGCTGCAGCGTCAGTCGCTCGTAGAAGATAACATCACGTGATGCCACCGTATTTTTGTCTTGTATGTCGAGGATCTTCCACGCGTGAAAATGTTTGGCGATGCCGAGGTGTAGTCCCCACCGAGCTCGTTGAGTGAAGCGTCCTGCTCGAGCTGTGTGGGGTCTGTATTGTACCATGCAGCCGAAAACTCGAAGTAATTTTGTGCTGCCCCTTTTTTCCGTCCACAGCAGGTGTGGTGATGCGTTGTTGGGGAGCGATGACGAGGACAACAGGTTGTGCAGGTGGACTGCATGTGTCATCGCGTCTGGCCACAGTGCGTTGGGCAGCCTCATCCCCAGAAGCAGTTTTCGCATCGTCGTCTGCAAGGTCCGGTTCATGCGTTCTGCTACCCCCTGCTGCTGGTGAGCATAGGGCAGAGACACCAGGCGTCGGATTCCCCTTTCCGCGAGATAGGTCCTGAAGCGTTGTGACTGGTATTCCAATGCACCGTCTGACTGGAAACTCTTGAGTTTGGTTCCTGACTCTCGTTCGGCGATTGGAAGCCATGTGGTGAATGCCTCGAAGGCTTGATCGCGCGTTTTGAGATTGAAGTGCCAGACGTATCTGGTTGCGGCGTCGATGAACGTGATGACGTAGTTGAAGTCGGCTTCGGTGTCGTCTCGAGGCATGTTTAGAATATCGCTGTAGACCTTTTCCATCGGAGCGTAAGTGGGTGCGCTTGGATTGTGATGGGCTGGGAAAGGTTGATGAGGAAGATCTGCTTCGGGGCATGTGAAACACCGTGCGCGTGGTCGTCGGAGTTCCTGGCCGCTCGTCGTCAGAAGGGCGTTGCGTTCTAACACTTCTGCTTGGATTGTTTGAAGTATCGTGCTGTTTGCAGGATGTCCGAGACGTTGGTGCCAGATGTCGTCGGGAGCGCGGTGACCGGGCGAGCGGTGGTAGATGTCGGCGTTGGAGAAGAACGCGACGACCGAGGCGGGACTTCGACAAGCTTCTCGTGTGGCGGGCATAAGTTGGTCTGCTTCGGTTGGCTGTCCTCGTGTCGCTGGTGGTGGTACTCGGCTGGGTCCTGCTGCCGATACTGCAGGTGATGGTTTTGTTGGGACGCTTGCTGGTACTTGTCTTTCTTGTCTGATAACTGCTAATGCCCGTGTTCTCTCTGCTGCAGGTATGGTGTTGGAGTGCCAGAAGCCGTCACTGTCGAAGTCGGGATCAAGATCTGGTGGGTGAGTCCAGGCGGCGAACGATACGATGCCATCGCTGTCGGCAGTTCCGCGGTCGGGGACGAAGTCCAACACGAAGACACCGGACTTCAGGAGGGCACGACCGATGAAGAGACCGCCCTTCCCGTGGTAAAGTCGGAACTCGTTGGAGAAGGAGTCGCACTCCAGGTGAATCCCCTTAGCCATTAGTTGGCTTACGCTTAGTAGGTTGTATCCCAGATTGTCGACGATGAGGACTTTGTTGAGCTGAAGAATAACGTTTGTCTCCATTGATTGTAACTGAACCACGCCTTGCCTGTTTGTTTTCAGGTTTTCGTTGTTGGCGACGGTGATGACGACGTCGCGGTTGAGGCGTCGCTCGTGTTGTACGAAGCGTCCGGAGGAGCACATGTGCTGACCGCAGCAACTGTCCAAGAACCAGGTGTTCCGCCCGGTGGGTTCGGCGTTAGCGACTGCAGCGTATGTCGGGTTGACCTGAAGTCCTTGCGAGCGCGGCGGCGGGAATTCCTCTTCGTCTGGTGCGTAAGTGGGTGGTGAAGCGGGTGCGCAGTTGTCGATGTGTATCATGCAGTTGATGATGTTGGGTGTTTGTTGTGCAGATGTTGAAGAGCGCCTTGGAGGACTTGCTTGAGTGGAAGCGACTTGTGGGTCTGCTGCACGGTAAACGCGAGGGCGGTTGCAGTTGACCTTGGAGTGCCCGGAAGTCTGACAGTTGTGGCAGAACGGCGGCACGATGGTGAGTCCTCGGTTGTCACGTTGATCTTGCTTGCTGCGTCGGTTGTAGTTGTTGTCATTTCTTCTTTGAGTGTAGAAGACTAACTGCTGTTGCTTCCTTGGTTGTCTTTCCTCGAACAGATCCATCTCCTGTTGTTCAGCGTGAAGCTCGGCGCAGAGGTGCATCTCCGAAATTCTTCCGTGGGCTCGAAGAAGTGATCGTGTGGTTCTCCATTCTGGCCCGAGCCCGGCGAGGACAAGTGTCACGAAGCTTTCTTCAGTGATCGTTCCTCCGCACCGAAGCAGGCGGTCGCGGAGGGTCTGGCAGCGACTCATATACTGCATCGCCTTTTCCCCGGTCTTCATCTGTATTGTTGTCAGCTGTTGCATGAGTCTGCTTTGTGTCACGCTGTCGTTTGCTTGGTAAAGGCATTTGAGGTGGTGCCATGCGAGCTCCGCGGAGTTTCCATAACTCCGATACGTTCTGATGCTCTGCTGCTCTTGTGGTGACAGGTTTCTCAGGAGTACCGTGTACGCCAGCAGCGACTGATACGTGAAGATCTCTTGTTCCTTCCCAGTGCCGTTGCTTGGGAATGGCAGGGACCCGTTGAAGTATCCCAGAAGATGCGCGGCCTCCATCAGCAGCTCAAACTCGAAGCTCCAGGTAAAGAAGTCGTGTCCGTTGAACGGTGAGGATGTCTGAAGTTTGATCACGTGTGAGAACTGCGCCTGTAAACTTAAGATTTCATTCGGTGTTTGTTGTGAAGCAGCTGCTGTTGGCTGGGCACGGGGCGGCATGAATTCGAACGTCCCCGGCGAAGAATGATAAGGCGCAAAGGTAGGCGCTTGATTGTGTCGCCCGAAGGATGAGTTGTCGAGGCTCATCGGCGCTAATCCCATATTCCCTCCATTGCTCTGTGTTGAGTGCGCAGGTGTCCTTGTCTGCTGCTGCTGATCGAAGTGTGACATGAAGCTGAAGAATCTCTCCATGAGATTCGGGTCCACACTTGAAGAGGGAGACGGGGTCACCATCTCTGGTACTCTTCCCGTTGTTTCTTGAGCAGTCCCGGTCTCTGTCTGCAGTCCTGAGGTGTGCAGACCAGAGTTGCCGTGTTGAGTTTCTTGGGCGCTGGGTGAGCCCGTAGAGACTTTCTTGCCCTTGTTGTCCATGTCTTGTAATCAATGAAGTCGTTGAATTGAGTTGAGTTGCAGGTTGTTGATAGGACGTAGTTGCTGGGAGTTTGGTCTCTGACCAGCTCTCATACCATGTTGGGCTGAGAAAAGCCCTTAGGATCTTTTGCAGAGACTAAGTCCCAGCTGTAGAGACTTGAGACTTTGAGTAGTGCAGCGGAAGTTGAGGCAGTTGAACCCTTGTACTAGTATGTGAGAACAAGTGATTGATTAAAGAAAACAAGCATACAGCAATATATAGTAGACAAGAAAGCAGTTGTAGAATACAGTTACAGGAACGGTTTATCGAGTCGCACAGCGACTCGATTGCCGCTTCGGTTACCATCCGTGATGTTGTAACGGTCAGTCGCAACCTCCAGTTGCGACCTTTCGAGTCCTTTCGCATTCTTTGTCCGCCCCCTCGTGTAACCTCCGTTGACTCGCGTGCTCCCCTGTAATCTTCCTCGCGTACAGTGTTACACTTCAGAAACGCTTAAGTCCTTGAGATATTTCCAACAACGAAGGCGCTTGCGCCTAAAGATCATCAGCGGCACTGTGTACAGCTTGGTCTAGTTCCTGTTGCTTCTCACTTGCTAGGACCTTGACTTGTACTGTCCTTTATATGCGTATTCAGACTGGACTTGTGTCCTCTCCCAGTGGCTGGACTAGTAGTGCCGCCCTGGTCTTGTTCTTGCCTTGTCTGTACACCTTCTGACTGGTCTCTCAGACCCTTGTCTCAGAGGTTGGACTAGTAGTGTCGCCCTGAGCTGCTTGTTTAGGGTATTACCCTCTGCAGTTTAGTGGGTGTGTCACACATCTGTAATTGTCATGCTTGCATAGACTGTATAGCGTTCGTGTTTAGAGGGTACACCACTTAGGTATATTTGTGTATACTCTTACTTTACCATTATTCATTTCCAATTCTGCTACTCAGCAGTACCCTTCTCTAGCCTAGGGGTTGTGTCAATTTGTACATATGTTGTATTTAAGAGTGTTAGGTTAGCCTAGGTGTGTGCTACTAGTGAGTACAATCCCAATAGGTATACGTTCTAGGTTTCCCACACTAGTAAATCATTCTTACATTCTAACACACTTACCTATATATGTGTATATTAAGTGGCGTTCCAAACCAATTACAGATAGGCGGCATCAGAACCTCAGAACCTACCACTGATTACACATAACAGTACAGTATTGTACACGTAAAACGGAACCACCCCAGATTACAAGACCCCATCGAGCAGAATTTCCATCTACGCATCAACGGGCAGCTGCTGGCCATTGAAAGCGGAGAAGCGGCAGTCGGTAGCGGTGACGGCAGACGTCTCATAGTCGCCGACCTGGCCGTCCAGGAATCCCCTGCCCTCCTCCCCATCGGCGGACACTGGGTGGTGCAGCAGCGCGGAGAGGCGAGAGAACTCCATGGTGCGCGCCTCCCTGCCGCCGCGGTACGTCTGCCCCATCACGCCGTGCACGCTGCTGCTCGCACTCGCGTCCGTGAACATCAGGTTGATGTGCACCTGGGCGTCCTCAGGTGTTTGCAAAAGAGGGTGCGCGGGCCTCAGCTTCAGGTCCAGCTCAAGGAGCCCGTCGAGGCGCAGGTAGTAATGGTCCACGTCGTACGGCCCCACCTTCTCCTCCGCCACGAACTGCAGCGACAGCTTGCCGTCCGCCAGGCTGCGCGACTCACCAGGCGCCAGGCGGGGGAGAGGCGAGCCGTCGAGCTCCGCGGACGCCAGGAAGCCGGACTCCCCGCGGAGCTGCTCCTTGCCGTCGCGCGCGGTGAGCACCAGGGAGTGGGTGGCGGGCTTAGCGGCCACGGTGTTGTCGGAGTCGGCGGCGGCGCTGTTATCGGTCCACATGACAGCGAGCTGGCGGATCCACGTGCGCACGGCGGAGCCGTTGACGACGAGCGCGGCGTTCTGCGTGGAGCGCGAGTCGAGGTACCCGCGCATGCCCATGTTCACATGCACCTGCTTGTCCGTGTACAGGCAGAAGTTCTTCTCGGGCAGCCCGTTGAAGTCGAAGTGCGTGCCCTGCGCGCCCAGGAAGTGCGGGTCGTTCTCCGTGGTGGCGCAGTTCTTGCCGATGCGCACCTTCTTTCCGCCGCAGCCCTTCTTGTCGCTCGCGACGGGCATGAGGCTGTCGAGGTTGGGCAGCAGCAGGCACTTGCCGCACTCCTTGCCGTTGCACTTGCCCTCACTGGGCGAGGATCTGCGGTTGCGAAGAGAACGTTCACGGAAAGGAAAAGAGGGTGAGTTGGGAGAGGGGGAAGCGCGAGATTGTCATGGAACGCATAAAAAGAAAAAGGATCGGTGATCTGCGCGGTTACTCACCGTATGTGCACCAAGTAAAGGCAGTTAGAGGGCTGATCTTAAGGGAATCAGCTACTAAGGGGTATGTTACTCACGGGATGTGCACCCAGAATTTGCAGTTGAAGGGCTGCCCGTTGTTGGTGGTGGTGGCCTGCTTGCAGCGGTCGCAGCAGTCCTTGGCGTTCACCGCGCCCGCCGCGCACCACGGCGCGCTATCCTTGCTGGGCTTCGACATGCACGCCTGGTACTCCGGGATCTGCGGGGAGGAACGACGGGGGGGGAGAAGCCATGAACAAGAATCATCCCAACGCCGCTCTAAAATTGGCAGGAGAGATTAGACAGGGATGAACACGGCGGGCAATCGGACGCACCTTCCAGTAGTCGAAGGAGCCCTTCTCGTAATCGCAGCCATCGACGCACAGGTGGCCTCTCTTCGAGCCGCCCTTGCCCGTATTGACGGGGAGAGTCTGAGAGCCGCTGTTTCCGTTCCCGTTGCCTTTTCCGTTGCCGTTGTTACCTGCGTTTACAACGGCAGCTGCAGCAAGAAGGACGAGCAGACTAGCTGCGACGTAGCGAGCCATGATGAAAGATTAACCTTCAGGTCGTTTTCTAAGTCACCAGTGCTATGGGTGATCGCTGGTTGCAACTTGATATTGAATCAGGGTCGAGGGCTGGGTTATGTATGTGGCTATGGAGAAAGGCAGGTAACTGCTCAGGTGGCTGGTTTGACTCGGTTCGGATCGGCGTGGTTGAGTGTGTAGGAATAAGGGAGGGGGGGAGAAGTGGGGGGAATGATGAAGGTCGGATGGCGGCAGGCACATGCGCAGATGTACTGTAAATTCAAGCGGGCGCGCTTTCGGTTTGGGGCTTACTGGTGAACTGCTGCCCCTGACCCTACCTGGCACCAACAATTTCCCGCCTCTGTTACTGTGGTGGGTTCGGCATAGGCGCATTTTCCTCCAGATTCATCGCACTCCGAGTCGGCGCAGATGCCGGCCAGGTGTGGCCCACACTAAATGAAACTCCACAACGCGCAGGGTGATTTTGAGGAAACCGTTCTGAAATTGAGTGATCTGGCCTTCGAGAAAAAAGGGGCCGAAATGAGGCTGAAGGTCGGCTTGTATGGTTGCTTCACGGCCTAGTTACACCACAGAATGCGAAACAGGCAAATTTATGGGTAGTTACGCCATCTCTGGACAAATTTATGGGCGAAATTTTGTCCAACAGCGACGGCGGCAGCCCCGTCAACGGCAACTCAGCCAGGTGTTGACCATCTGCGCTTTCGTCGGAAGGGCCTTCTCAGGGGGGGTCGGGTGGACCTGAAAAGCGAAATGCAGAACGATTTCTTCCCTGATCGACGTGCCACCCGACCAGCGCTTACTTCTGGTTTTTAGTCACCCTTAAAACATCGGGCTTATGAAAAGTTTACCCTTGAGTTTCAGGGTTCAGTTGAAAAAGATCCTTAATCATTAGGGTTCATTCGCACAGTACTCTTTTCACTGCCACGATTAGAATCTACCTGGAAAGGTATGGGCACTACGAGAAGGGTGTGAGTAACATGACGGGGCTGTGAGGGGAGAAAAACGAAAATCCACAAGGGAGTTGTCTCCCCTCTGTTTGTGACTACGAGGTGTGAGTAACCTGCTGTGATCCCCTCTGCTTGTCATTGGTGTGAGTACGTGCTGTGAGGGGAGAACAACAAAAATATACGAAGGGGGTTGTCTCCCCTATGTTTGTGACTTCGAGGTGTGAGTACGTGCTGTGAGGGGAGGACAACGAAAATCTTCTGAGGGAGTCATCCCTCCTAAGGAGATCCCCCCCTGAGCCCCGCATAACTCTTAATTCACCGGGCTCATAAAAAGCTGACCCTTAATTTGTGGGGCCAGCTGGCAAAATGCCATTTATTTGACTCAAACTCAGGGCAGCAGCCCTTGAAAATTAGGCCCTGCACCCCATCCCACCCGACACGCAGACAGACACGCACGCGACGCGATGCAACGGCGATGGAGCAAAAGTGAAACGATGAGTCCGTTTTCAACACAGGCAGCCAACGTGCCTTTTGGTACTTGCGCACATAGTTCACTGTTTTCAGTACTGAATACAGGTAACATCGTTTCATCTTCCCTCATACAGATAATGTTATCCAAGGTGAGTGGTGCCACTTCTAAAAATTTACGTTCTCTATGTATGGGTGAAAATAATACTTTCCCTTACCATTCCTCAATATCACTTCCTCGCCAGCACAAATAACTTGCAGAGGTTGTAAACATCACCCTTTATACATTATTGTAGTCAACACAGAAAACACCATCCATCATACCAAGCAAGATGCACACAATTTTCAAGGCTTTAGGCCCAAGTGGGGCCTCACTAGCCCTCGATTACAAGCTCGGGCTCCAATGCAACGTGCTTCGAAGTGAAAAAGAACAGTCACGGGTGGAGGATCCACCGGAGCTTAGCTAAGAGCCGGGGCTCCTTCGAAACCTGGGGCTTAGTTAAGAGCTGAGGCTCTTGGACGGCTCTGCGTGGAGCAGATCTGCGTCAAGATCGTCCGCGATAACAATGGACGGCGCCTTCTTGAATATCTGCAGAACACGAGGTGGTTGAGCGCGGGGAGGAGAGAGAGGAAATATGGCGTGAATGAAAAGAACATGCGTTGTGGGGGAATCAGGAGGATATTTGATGACTCAAGAATCACCTACAAGCATGGGGGGAGGAGTGAAAGGAGGAGCATGGTGCATATGAAACGAGATGCATTGTGGGAGAGAGGAGGAGATTGGAGAGAGGGAGATGAGGTATGGAGAACTGTGTTGAATCGTGAGAGCTGGGCAAACAAGCTGCATGGGAAGGTGGTGCGCTCACACTTCGAAAGAGCAGAGAGCACTTATCCCCTCAACCATAGACCCTGGACCTTCAGGCCCTATCCCTACCTTGTGGAAGTACTCAAGCTCCCCCCGAGCAGCCCACATCTCCGGAGACACGTCCTGGTCTGAGAAAAGAGAGATCATAACCCTAGACCATGCGCTGTAAACCCTAGACCGCCAAGTACTATCCCTACCTTGTGGAAGTATTCAAGCTCTCCCCGTGCAGCCCACATCTCCAGAGACACGTCCTGAGCTGCTCCTGTCTGGGGGTCCACCGCTGGGGTCACCGCCTGGTGGGGATGATGGGAGGGAGAAAGGGGGCGGGGAGAGAGGGGGTGGCCGGGTGGGTGGGAGAGCACCGAGCCTTCATCTCCAGAGACACGTCCTGGGCTGCTCCTGCCTGGGCGTCCATCGCTGGGGTCACTGCCTGGTGGGGATGATTGGAGGGAGAAAAAGCACAGGCTAAGAGGGGATGGGCGGGTGGGTGGGAGAGCGCCGAGCCCACATCTCCAGAGACACGACCTGAGCCACGCCTGTCTGGGGGTCCACTGCTGGCGTCACCGCCTGGTGGGGGAGATGGGAAGGGGACAGGGGGCGGGGACAGAGGAAGTGGCCGAGTGGGTGGGTGAGAGTGCGCCGAGACCCCATCTCCAGAGACACGTCCTGGGCTGCTCCTGTCTGGGGTTGCACTGCTGTGGTGATCGCCTGATGCAGATGAGGGAACCGGGTAGGGAGGTAGCACATCATAGGGAAACGGGTAAACAGGTAGCCACCACCGCAACGCGCATTATGGTGCACATGCATACTCGATATAGGTAGACTCGTCATAAGCACTCATGAGCACGCACGAGTCGTCATCCTGCAGACCCATCACCGGCTCAGCAGTGCCCGAGTAGCAACGGTCCAGAGCCACAGCCACGCGCATGATGGCACGCGTGCGTACTCCATGCATACTCCACACAAGATACTCGCTATAAGCACATACTCGTTATTAGCACTCACCAGCACACACGAGTCGTCATCCTGCAGCACCATCACCCTCTCCGCAGCGCCGGTGTAGCAGCGGTCCAGAGCCACAGCAATGCGCATGATGGCGCAGAGCGCCCTAATCTTCTGCTGCACCACGGGGGGCAGCTTGGCAAAGTCCTCGTCCTTGGTGGAGGGGGGCTTCTTGCGGTGGTAGCGCACCAAGAGAGCGATCATCTGATAGAATGGGGGAAGGTGGGGGGGGGGGGGGGGGGGGGGAGGGGGAGAGGGGGGGGAGGAGAGAGGGTTTCATGAGACACCCCGTGTTGGCGCAGAGCGCCCGTATCTTCTGCTGCACCGCGGGAGGCAGCTTGGCAAAGTCCTCATCTTTTGTCGACGGGGGCTTCTTGCGGTGGTAGCGCACCAAGAGAGCAATCATCTGGTTGGTGCGGTTGGGGGTGAAGGGGGGTGAAGGGGTTGGGGGGAGGAAACAGGCATGGACACTTCGCATTATGGCACAGAGCAAGTGTGAAGTGACTTTTGAGGCAACACAAAAGTCACCTCGTTACAGTGTCACATGACTCAAAAGCCACCTCGTTACAGTGTCACATGACTCAAAAGCCACCTCGTTACAGTGTCACATGACTCAAAAGCCACCTCGTTACAATGTTACATGACTCAAAAGCCACCTCATTACAGTGTCACATGACTCAAAAGCCAACTCGTTACAATGTCACATGACTCAAAAGCCACCTCGTTATAGTGTCACATGACTCAAAAGCCACCTCGTTACAATGTCACATGACTCAAAAGCCACCTTCTGAGTCATAAAACAGTCAAAATGTGAAGATTTCTCTGCTGCATTACCAGTGGTGGTGCATACATCCCTCCCCCTAGAATTTTGCAGTGAGTAGCCTAACAGCCTGACAGCCTGACAGCCTAGTGTTGACAGCCTGACAGCCTAGCTAACATTGGTAGTGTTGTCAGCGGAGGCCAAAGGAAGCAGGGCCCTAGAATGCTTTTTGAGGCGACTACTCGGCCCTAGAATGCTTTTTGAGGCGCCTGCTTGGCCCTAGAATGCTTTTTGAGGCGCCTACTCGGCCCTAGAATGATTTTTGAGGCGCCTACTTAACCCCAACACCTTTCCTCTCCCCTCCTGACCCCAAACTACTGACCCCCCATGTGGGAATTCAGCTTACCTCAACTTCCATTGGCGAGTACCCTAGCAGCTGCTCCGAGTGCTGCAGAGAGAGAGAGTAGAGGAAGGAGCCTGACCCCCAACCTTGACACCAACCCCTGACCCCCAACTCCTGACCCCCCAGGTGGGAATTCAGCTTACCTCGACTTCCATTGGTGAGTATCCTAGCAGCTGCTCCGAGTGCTGCAGGCAGGTTAGAGGAGGGGCGGGGAGAGAGGAGGGGCGGGGAGAGAGGAGGGAGGAGAGGCGGGCAGCAGTAAGAATAAAAGGTTAGAGAGCAGGGGAGAACGCAATACATTGGGATGAGTGCTGGAGCTGCAGATGGTCACCAGATGCTCCGAGTCCTGCAGGTAGACAACAGGAGGAGCGGGGAGAGAGGAGGGAGGAGAGGCGGGCAGCAGTAAGAATAAAAGGTTAGAGAGCAGGGGAGAGCGCAATACATTGGGATGAGTGCTGGAGCTGCAGATGGTCACCAGATGCTCCAAGTCCAGCAGGTAGACAACAGGAGGGGGCGAAAGGAAGGCAGAAGGAGAGGAAGACGAGTGATGAGAGTGATGACGAGTGATGACGAGTGATGACGAGAGGAACAGGAGGGAAGGGAAGCAAGAAAATGTGTACGGGCCAGTAGGCTCCACTTGCTGTTCATCGCACGCGCAGAGGGGAGTCATAGCATGTGTGGTGGTCTTGGCACCTTGATCAGGTAATAACTGTGCTTGTGGTAGCCCTTGTGCGAGATGAACATGCCCACGTAGTGCAGCACGGTGGCGGCCTCCAGCACCTCGAAGTCGTTGCCGTCCAGCAGGTTCATCATCGGCGACACGCAGTCCGAGCCGCCCATCTTGCACGTCTGCAGGCCGGCCAGGATTTGCTGCGGAGGAGGGGGGGAGAGGGAAGAGGGGAGGGGGGGGTGGGGGGTTTGAAGGAGGTTGGGAAAATATGGAGTACAAGCCGTCTGGAGGCCTGCAAAGATTTGGTACGAGTCGACTTAAAGGCAGAGGTCAGTCAGATGTGGGTGGCTGAAAACACACGACCACAACGACCACAACGACCACAACAACCACCTCCCTCACCTGAGCCAGCTCCGCACAGTGCTTGGCGGACTCCAGCCTCTGCCCCGTGTTGAAATTGCCAGGCTCTTCATCACCGAGCTCCTCCTCAGGTCCGGAGTGATACTGAAGTCCGTGAACGCCCTCGAGAGCGTGTTCACGATGACCCCCTCCCTCAGGGCGTACGGCGACATGCGCATCTTCGAGATGCCCATCGCCAGAAAGATCTCCGTCCTGTGTCCTCTTCGAAGACCAGTGCCCATACCTCTAGATAAACCAGCTGTCCCCTCCCCTCCCTTGCAGCTCACCAGAGCCAGCTCGGCGCAGTGCTGGGCGGACTCCAGCCTCTGCCCTGTGTTGAACTTGCCGGCCATCTTCATCACCGAGCTCCTCCTCAGATCCGGCGTAATACTGAAGTCGGTAAAGGCCCTCGAGAGCGTGTCCACCATGACCCCCTCCCGCAGGGCGTACGGCGACACGCGCATCTTTGAGATGCCCATCGAGCATTCACCTCACTGCTACAACGACAACACCCTCTCTCTCTCTCTTCCTCACCTGAGCCAGCTCCGCACAGTGCTGGGCGGACTCCAGCCTCTGCCCTGTGTTGAACTTGCCAGCCATCTTCATCACCGAGCTCCTCCTCAGATCCGGCGTAATACTGAAGTCGGTAAAGGTGCGTGAAAGCGTGTCCACGATGACCCCCTCCCGCAGGGCGTACGGCGACACGCGCATCTTCGAGATGCCCATCGCCAAAAAGATCTCCTCCAGCAGGACCGCGCCGCCCAGAATCACGTCTGCGCGCTTCTCAGGCAGCCCGGGCAGCTTCGCACGCGCCTCGGGCGTCTTGGCCTTGCAGATCTTCTTGACCACCGCTGAGAGCTCCTCCAGGGTGAACTCTCTGTCCTTGAGGTCTGCTAGCCGGCGCAAGACAGCCTGTTGAGGGTATTCGCAGCAGGAGAGGGAAAGGAAAAGTGGGTTGTTAGGTCTGCTAGGCGGTGCAGGACAGCCTGTTGTGGGTGGCAATGCAAGGCAAGAGCACGAAGAGGGTGTGGGCCTCGGGCGTCTTGGCCTTGCAGATCTTCTTCACCACCGCTGAGAGCTCTTCCAGGGTGAACTCTCTGTCTTTCAAATCAGCTAGCCGGCGCAAGACAGCCTGGTTTGAAAATTAGAACAAAGGGGGAATGTGATGCTTTTCCTTTTCCTTTTCCTTTTCCTTGGCCCTTGGCCCTTCGCCTTGCAGATAATTTTTTAGGCGCCTCAAAAATAGACTCCTCACGAATGTGATGCATGCCCTTGGCCTTGCAGATAATTTCACTGTGGTTGAGAGTCTCTTTGAGGGGGAAACGGGTGCCGGGAATCTGGAAACAGTCGCTGTGATTTGATTTGATCTGGTTTGATTTGATCTGGTTTGATTTGATCTGGTTTGATTTGATCTGGTTTGATTTGAATGGATTGACTCACCTCCTGGCTTTGGTTGATACCACTAGGGTTGCCCCCTCCACTCCTCCCGCTGCTTCCACTGCTCCTCGCATTCTGCCCTCCCGTTGCCACAACCGCTGAGCTGCTGCTGTTTCCACTGCTGCTGCTGCTTTTTCCGCTGCTCCCGCTGTTGCTGCTGCTGCTGGATTTTCCGCTGCTGCTGCTGCTGGCGCCGTTGGTGCTGGCGCCGGAGCTACTTGTCATGCTGCCCGTGCTGATGATGCCGCTGGCGCGCGATTGGTGGATCATCTGCTCGATTGTTTCGATGGTGCCCGAGCTTCCAATGGCCAGCTCTATCTCTTTCTCAGCGCTGCGAAGCAAGAAGCAGGGAAGCAGGGAGGCAGGGAGGCAGAGAGGCAGGGAGGCAGGGAGGCAGGGAGGCAGGGAGGCAGGGAGGCAGGGAGGCAGGGAGGCAGGGAGGCAGGGAGGCAGGGAGGGAGAGCAGCATATTTTTATTCATGGAGGATGAGAGAGGGAGAAACAGACCCATGAGAGAATATGATCACAACAGTCATACAATAAGGCAAAGCAGCGCAAAGGGTGGATGGAGGAAAGTGATACCTCCCCCTCTCTCTCCCCCTCCCCCTCTCTCTTCCCCCCCCCCTCTCTCTCCCCCCCCCCTCTCTCTCCCCCTCCCCCCCACTCACCCCTTGACCACTTCCAGCACCCCTGAGTCCGCCAGCAGCACTCGCACGTATCGCCGCAGCTCCAGAATCTGCTGGCGATGCGACACGCCGCCCTCTGGGAGGAAGAAAGGGAAGACACGAGAAGGTAAGGGAATATGAGACGGGGGGAGGGTGCGGGGCCAAGACAGACAGAGAGAGAGTAGCACCACAGCTCAAGAGTCTGCTGGCGAAGCAACAAGCCTCCTGGTGGGAAAGAGGGCGGAAAGACAAGGGAAGACAAGGCCCAAGGGTCGCGGAGAGGGAAGGGCGTGAGAGGCAAACAGGGAGAGTGAGTATACCCGCAGGTCAAGAAAGCGAGTGGGAAATACAAGGGACGAGGAGGCGTCAGCATCAGCGTTAACGAGGATGGGGAAGAGGGAAGGGAGGGAGGCAGGAGTGGACGGAGAAGAGAGAGTGTATTCGCTTGTAACGAGTCTATTTTTGAGTTGACTAAAAAATAGACTCATTACACACAGAACGGAGGGAGACAGGAGTGGAAGGAGAAGAGAGAGTGTATTCGCTCCCTTCCACTCTTGTCTCCCTCCCTTCTGTCACCCCCTCTCCTCCACAAGTGTATATCCTGACTCTCCCCCTAAGCGCGACCCACACCCCCATTACCGCGTTACTACATCCCTCTAGGTTCTTTCATCGTACATTGCGTTCATCCTCGTTACAAGCACACTCACGAGCAAACTTCTCCGTGAGGCGAATGTGGCCCAGCTTGAGCGACGTGGCAAAGAGCGGCTTGCCCTCCCGACCAATCACAAACTCCGTTGACCCGCCCCCGATGTCCACTGTGAGCACCGTCTTGTGGTACACTGGCAGGGCCTGGGGGGGGGGGAGAGGGAATAATTGGGGTAGGCGGTTCGAGTGGGTAAAGGGAGAAGGGGGGGGAGGGAATAATTGGGGTAGGCGGGTAGAGGAGGTGACGGGAGAAGGGGGGCAGAGGGGTTGTTAGCAAACGACCCCCGCCTCAGATGCCCACTGTGAGCACGGTTTTGAGATAGGGAGTAACGGGGTAGGGGGGTAGAGTGGGAAAAGGGAGAAGGGGGGCAGAGGGGTTGTTAGCAAACGAACCCCCCCCTCCGATGTCCACGGTTTTGTGGTACACTGGGAGGGGCAGGGGGGGGGGCGGGCGCGAGGGGAAAGGGGGAGAGGCAGGGAGAGAGGGGGTATGGAAGGAGGGGGAGGGGGGAAATGGAGAGGGCCGACGCACCTGGAGAATGCCGAGGTAGATGAGGCACGCCTCTTCCTGGCCAGATAGCACCTCCACGTCAACACCGGTCGTATCCAGCACGCACGCGGCGGAGGGAGCACACGGGCGAGAGTGGGAGGGTGGGGGGTTGGGGAGGGGGGATGGGGGAAAAGGGGGGAAGGAGACGCACCTGGAGAATACCGAGGTAGATCAAACAGGCTTCTTCCTGGCCGGATAGCACCTCCACGTCAACGCCGGTCGTATCCAGCACGCGGCGGATGAACGACCGCCGGTTGCGCGCCTCGCGCACCGCTGACGTGGCGACGACGCGCAACGTCGCGCCACGCGTCGCCGCGATCTGCTTCAGCCGCCGCACGGCCGCCAGCGCCCGCTCCTCTGCGTCGGGCGTGATCACGGCGAATCCCGAGCTGCCACGTGTTATAGAGGAAAAAAGGTGATTTAAGTCAGCCACAGATAGATTCTAAGGTTCCAACGGACTGGAACCATAACATATCGAAATAGTGATGTTTTGAAAATAATGGTGTAAAGAAATAGTGCTACTAAGGATTGGAGCCAATAACAGAACCGTGAGTATTGCCAAAAAAGGTTACTCTGGAGCTACCTCTGGAGCTATGGAAAACGCGTGAGGGATTGCGATGAGGTAACTGGAAAACGGTTACTACCGGCAATATCCTACCGTGGTGGAAACGCCCCTCACTTAGAAGACCGAACTCGTGAAATATTCGATCTGCATAATGATGCATTACCTCCCGCTACCGAGTCGCACGTCCTCCTTTTCGACGTCCTCGATCTCGAAGCGCCCCTTGTTGTCGGCTTTAACGACCACCATGTGGAACGAGTTCGTGCCCATGTCCACCGCTGCCAGCAGCCGCTGCTCCTGCTCCGGCACTGCGCGCATCGCAGGACGGCGCGGCGGGGGCGGGGGAAGTGGGCGGGGGGGAGGGGATGGAAGGGGAAGGGGGGATGGAAGGGGAAGGGGGGGGGAAGGGGAAGGGGGGGAGAAGGGGAAGGGGGGGAGAAGGGGAAGGGGGGGAGAAGGGGAAGGGGGGGAGAAGGGGAAGGGGGGGGGGAAGGGGGAAACAGGTGAGACGTCTCAAAGCGACGGCCGACGAAGACAATGCGGAGCGAAACGAATTGGTGCCCATTTCGACCGCCGTCAGCAGCCGCTGCTCCTCCTCCGGCACTGATTGGAAGGGGAGGGTGGGGAGTAAGTGGGGGGAGGGAAGAGGGGGGTGTGTGTGCGCGCAGTGCTGTCGCGACGTCTCACGCGACGTCTCAAGCCGACGACTAACTACGCGCTAACGGACCGTTGATTGCCCTCACGCCCTGGGCGACTAAAATTTGTCATAATTCTGCAGAAGATTCGACATACCTCTTCGAATCTTCGGGATTGCCGCGATGCCGTCCACCTCCTCGTCGTCGTCGCTCAGCTCGCCGCCACGTGCCGTCCGCAACAGCTGGCGGCTCATCATTGGCCCCACGTGTCCGCCGTCCTCCTCCCCCTCCTGCACGTCGATCCCCACCGACACCGTCCCCTGCTGCCGCGCTGACTCCGCAGACTTCGCTGCCTTTCCCGCCGCGGTTCCCGCTGCGGCGGACTGCACGGCGCGCCGCGCGGCGGCATTGGCGGAAGGGGCGGGCCAGCTGGGGAGGTTGGTTAAAGGCGCATCGAAGATTGACTTGCGGGAGAGGGGGGGAGGTTGCGGTGCGGAATAAGGCGAAGCGGATGGTAAGGAGGAGGGCGAGGAGGAGGAGGCGGAAGAGGAGGAGGAGGCGGACGACGACGGTGTGGATGGCGCAGCAGACGCACGTGGCAAAACCCTGGCCGTTCGTCTGGTGGCGATGCGCTGCTGACTGCAGAAGGAGGTTCTACTGCTGCGCAATTTGTGGTGGTTCAGAAGCAGCGAGCCCTGCTCGACTGGGAGCACGTGCAGCGACTGGGGAGCCACCATTTCGGCCAATCGAGAACCACCGAGAGAGCAGCTGGGGGAACACAAGGGTCCAGTGAAGACCTGGCCTGGCGCTGCTAACCAGGTTAGGAGAGACCAGATGATTGAGGGAGGAATGACGAAGATGGGGAGGAACAAGTGCTAGTGAAGCTCTTATGGGATTATTGGACGGATAAGTTGTGACAGACTCAACGGCTGGAAGGAGGTGGGATGGGAACAAGAGAGGAAATGCTCATGACACCGAGTGAAGAAAGGTTTGGAGTGCGGTTAAGTAGGATACAAAACGGAACAAGAACGATTCTGGGAATGTTGACTGTTACCCTCCTTCCCTCCCAACCCAAACCAGGCTTGCAGGTTTCCCCCTCGGGGTTTGCGGCTGCGCTGCTGATTGGTTCCCCTCCCTCCCGCGGCTGTGCTGATGGTGGCTCGCCGCGGTGGGCGGATCAACATAACCAATCCGTCCGAGCCACGAGAGCCACCCTCTTCGTTCGCGGCAACCGCAGCCCTCTTCCTTCCGCCAGATGCCACGTCAGGCTACCTCAGCGCCACGCTCGAATGGGGATACTGTATGGGATTGCGTTGGTCTTACGGTCCTGGGTCAGCCAGACCTGTTCACTTCACATCACACGGTCGCACCTGTAATGCGGTTCAAGAGAAGGTCAAGGAGTTCCGAGAACTACCCAGCATTAGGGCGGATCCAAATAGTTCAATTGGGGGTTTTGAACACGTTTTTACGAACTCTGGGAAGACAGCTGAAAACGATCCCAAAATCGTTTCCTCCCCAAACCGCGTCTCATATTGCGAATGAAACAGAAGCTGGCGCCAACTGGGTGCGTCCCAAAAAAACGGTTTGCGTCAGACGCCCCAAATCGCAGTTACCAAATGTCGCAAGATATTTCGTGCTGGGTTAAGTGGCAGGTGTGATTTGGCGTTGGCCACGCGAGATGTTCGCGAGGTCGCCTTGTTCTCGCCAAGACTGGCTTGGCGAAACCCCAAGTGACACACGTGTCCATCGATACCAAAACGTAAACCTACCGACACCAAACGTGAACCTAACGTCACCGAATCGTAAACAAATCATGTGCATTCACATGCGTCGAGCGTCCCGAGTTACGTCAATTTCCCGCACGTGTCCCCGCGAAATTTAAACGAGGTTAAAATCGGGTTACTTTTCACGACATGAATAGAGTATGAGTTATTTGGACCCGCCCTCGACATGGGAACGGCGGGGAGCCTTTCAAACAAGCAACATGCAAGAACCCGCAATGCAACACGGACTCCCCATTCGGGTTTAACAAATATCTGTCACGTCAATGACTAGCCAGATGCCCTTGCCTGACCAGACTTCACCTCACCACCACCACCGAGCACCGATGCGACGCAATGAGATCCATAGCTGGCACGTGCAGCAAGGGTCAAGTCTGGCACCTTCTCCACGCAATAAACGCCACGTAGTCGTCACCACAACCAAGGAGATCCAATAACATCATGCATGGAAGAATATTCCCTTCTGAAGAGGATCTCCCACATCCACCTCATATGGAGGCAGCCATACAGGCCAACCACTTGTTTCCCCTGGAATGCACTGCAGTCTATGCTAACAGGCGTGAAACAAAAACACGGGCTAACATTAATGATTGCATAAGTGTGCCGCATTTCGACGTGGAGTGTGCAATTCCCTACTGCATATAGAATAATATGCCCCATTATATCTCTTTAATAATAAATCATCAAACCCCATGTTGGTCAGTTGTTGGCAGTGGTGTTGCCAATACTCTCATCCACATCTGCCACACCCATGCCACTCGCACTGCTGTGTCCGTTGGCGCATCCTTAGCAACTGCATCCTGTCAACTTATACATATTATCTATGTAGAAGTTATAGGCTAGACTGAGGTATGCTTCTAGTGAGTACAACCAACTAGTATTTGTTCTAGGTTTCCACCTCTAGTAATCATTCGTTTCTACGTTAACATGGTATCACGCTTAGGTTAGGATCCCCCCGCCTCCGCTTCCGCCCGTCGCGCCTCCTAGGCCCCGTCGCGCCCCCTAGGCCCCGTCGCGCCCCCCCTGGGCCCCGTCGCGCTCGTTAGGCCCCGTCGCGCCCCCCCTGGGCCCCGTCGTGCCCGCTGGGCCCCGTCGCGCCTCCTAGGCCCCGTCGCGCTCCCCCTGGGCCCCGGCGCGCCCGCTGGGCCCCGTCGCGACCCCTAGGCCCTAACGCGCCCCCGCTGGGCCCCGTTGCGCCTCCTAGGCCCCGTCGCGCCCCCCATGGGCCCCGTCGAGCCCGCTGAGCCCCGTCGTGCCTCCTAGGCATCGTCGCGCCTCCTAAGCCCCGTCGCGTCCCCCCCCCTCTGGGCCCCGTCGCGCCCGTTCGGCCCCGTCGCGCCCCTCCTAGGCCCTGTCGTGCCCGCTGGGCCCCGTCGCGCCTCCTAGGCCCCGTCGCGCCCCCTCTGGGCACCGTCGCGCCCGCTGGGCCCTGTCGCGCCTCCTAGGCCCCGTCGCGCCCGCTGGGCCCCTTCGCGCTTCCTAGGCCCCGTCGCGCCTGCTAGGCCCCGTCGCGCCCCCCCTGGGCCCCGTCGCGCCCGTTAGGCCTCGTCGCGGCCCCCCTGGGCCCCGTCGTGCCCGCTGGTCCCCGTCGCGCCTCCTCGGCCCCGTCGCGCCCCCCCTGGGCCCCGTCGTGCCCGCTGGGCCCCGTCGCGCCCCTTAGGCCTCGTCGCGCCCGCTGGCCCCTGTCGCGCCTGCTGTTAGCGCTCGCCTGCCTGGCCTCCTAGTGCCGCTCGGCCTCCTCCTAGTGCCGCCCGGCCTCCTCCTAGTGCCGCCCGGCCCCTTCCTAGCGCCGCCCGGCCTCTCCTCAGCGCTGCCCGGCCCCTCCTCGTGCCCGACCGGCCCCAGCAGCACCAGCCTGGCCCCTCCCAGCACCAGCCCGGCCCCAGAGCACCTGCCCGCCTCCCCTGCTCGGCCTGCCGTGTCCTCTCGGGCCCTGTGTCTTCTGCTCGCCTGCGCTGGGACGCCTAGCTGCTGCCCTACTGGAGAGTGCTGCCGCCGTGTCCCCGCGCCGCTGTGCTCCTGTGCCGCTGAGGAGCTGTGCTGCTGTGCCGCTGTGTCGCTGAGGAGCTGTGCCGCTGACCCTGCACGATGGCTGACTTTGTGCTCCGCCTGGACGCTGAGGGCCACGCGGTTGACTTCGCCGCCTGGCTCTCCGATCTCCGCCGCCAGCTTACAGGTCAGCGCCAGGATGGCCACTCTCTGGTTGTCCATGCTGATGGCTTGCTCCCCCGTCCCCCTGCACCTACTCCCCTCCCTGCTGACCCCTCCTCTGATGACCGTGAGGCTTTCTCTACTGCTGCGCTGGCCTGTGCGGTCTGGGACTCACGCGATGCAGTAGCTCAGGTTGCTATTAGTCACGCCCTCCCTGTGTCTGAGCGCTCGCGTTTTGCTACTGTTGAAACGGCCAAAGCTTATTTAGACGCCGTTATTGCTCGCTATTCCACCCCTGCCTCCGCTTCTGCTGGCCGCTTGCTCTTTCCGATGCTGTTCCCAGACCTGGCTGCCTTCCCTACTGTCGCAGACTTTGCCACTCATTTGCGTGCCCTAGAGACTCGCTATCGCACTGCCAGCACTGCTGCCCAGCTCACTGCGCTCCCCCCTCCTTTCTGCATGACGCTCTATTTTATCGCTATGCGCCTGCCAGACCGCCTCGCTAGTGCTCGCGACCACTTTCTTAGCCAGCACCCGGGTGACCTCACCCTGACCGCCTTTGTCGACACCCTCACTGAGATCGAGACTCGCCAGCGCACTATCGCTCAGTCGAGCGGTGCGCCGGCAGTCTCTATCTTTCACGGCTGTGCCCCATCCCAGTGCACGTTCACTGACGTTTCGGCTGCGGTCGCCACGGCGACCCCTCTTACCGAGACGGCTGCTGCTGTCCACCCGCAGCAGCGCTCGCGTCGCGGTGGCCGTGGCCGCCAGGGAGGTAGGGGTGGTGACGCAGGTGGTAGTGGTCGTGGTGGTGGTGACGGTAGTCCGCCTGAGGGGACTACCACCGGTGGGCAGGAGCAGCAGCCCCAGCAGCAGCAGGACCAGCCCCAGCCGCAGCCGCCGTCCCAGCAGCACCCGCCGCAGCCGTGGGCTCGTCTCCCGCCTGGTTGGCCCGGCACCTCCGGAGGCGGTGGCCGTGGTGGCGGCCCGCGCAGCTTGGCGTCTACCAGCGGCTCCAGTGCTGTGACCTGCCAGTACCAGCTTCAGACCGCGCCTCTCCGCGGCACTCTGTGCCGCCGCCCGCACCCTACCGCCCGCTGTTTCCGCCGCCTCGACGATCTTTTTCGTCGTCGCTTTGGCCCGGCCCCGGACCTCCCTGACTGGCACAGCCTACTCCGCCAGGGCGTGCCGATCTTTGAGTTAGACATGGATCAGATAGGTGCTGCTTTGCATGCTTTGTATGCTGACGCTTCTAGTGTTGCTGGATCTTACTACCCTGTGTACTCTAGTTTAGGTGTTTCACCCTTGTGTAGCTTAGCTTCCCCTGCTGCGACAGGCGTAGGACTGCCTAGGTTGCCTAGTCTAGTCGCTGCACCGGCTCCGTCCCCGGCCTCCGCCACTGCGTCGCTGTCCTTCACTCTCGACTCCGATGCTTCTGCCTGCTTCTTCCGCGACCGTTCCACGCTCACGCCGCTTGCTGCACCTGCTGTTGTCTCTCTCGCTGACCCCTCTGCGGGTCCGGTCGTCGCGCGCAGTTCTACATCCCTTCCTTGTCCGGTAGTTCCCTCGGGCTCCCTTACAGGCCTCCACGTTCCCTCGTTCTCCAGGAACCTGGTTGGTGTCGGCTGTCTCCAGGACCTCGGCGTCACCACCACGTTCCCCGGGCACGAGCGGTTCGCTGTCTGTTCTGAGGCTGTCTCAGGTTCCCCCCTTGCGACGTTCCCCCGGGACCCGGTGTCCGGTCTGTTTACCCTACACACCGCTTCCCCCCCGGTTGGTGCGTCCTCCCAGGTCGCTGCAGCTTGCTCGTGTCGGTCCCTCACTCACCCCTCCCTTCTCTGGCAACACCGCTTAGGTCACCCTGCTCTCCCGCGTCTGCGTCACATGTCCCAGCACGGTCTTGTCTTAGGTCTCCCCGCGTCGCTCCCTGCCCTTCCTTCCTCGACTGCGCCACCGTGCACGC